TTACAAGGAACCGTGTCCGAGTCAAAGAGCCAGCCTGAAGCAGTACTAGGTGCAAGGTCAACGAATGTCAGTGGATGCGGGTTGAGCTTGACTAGAACAGCCGCGCTGGTCATCTCTCGTGTTAGACATGGAGGCAAACGAAAAGAAGAAAAAATTAATAAGCAGTGTTCACGAGCACTCGGATATCTCGGTGGCCGTCGCCTTCTTCCATCAGCTTTTCCGTCAGCTCTTGCATCAAATTAGTGCCCACAAGTGCCCATGTTCTTCCCCTCAGAGATTTCCGTTACCGGCCGTCAGTTTCTCCATCAGCTTTTCCGTCAGCTTTTCCCCAGCTTTTCCGCCAGCTTTCCCATCAGCTTTTCCGCCGGCTTTCCCGTCGGCTTTTCCGTCAGCTTTTCCGTCAACGTTTCCGTCAACGTTTCCATCAACTTCTCCATCAACTTCTCCGTAAGCTCCTCTGTCAGCTCCTCTGTCCGCTTTTCTGTCAGTGTTTCCGAGTCTGTCAGCTTCTCTATCAGGTTCTCCATCACCTCCTCTCTCAGCCTCTCTGTTGACTTCTTCACCAACCATTCTCCGGGGATGACAAGTCTTGTTGTCATCTTCCTGACCGGGAGATTTAGTGTGCATGTGGTTTTCAGTTAGTACGAAGTGTAGCATGGAGGTGAACAATCAGCAGGAGAGCAACAGTGAGTTACATAAATCATGATGGTTGTGGATATGGTCTGAGGGTGCCCGGGGATGACTGGTCTGCTGAAGGGAGGGCTGCCTGGGCAATTGAGGTTTCAAATTGACAGATCAGTTGAACGAGGAGCTGACCAGTCATGAGCTAGTAGGAAAGCTGGTGAGTCAGTTCACTGGGAAGCTAATGGATCAGTTGAATGAGAAGCGGACCAGTCATCTACCGGGAAAGCTGATGGGTCAGTTGACTGGGAAGCCAATGGGTCAGTTGTGTGGAGAGCTGACGTGCCAGTTGAGTACAAAGTTGAGAGGTCATCTGGGGGAAAATTTGACTGACTAGTATTCAAGGCTGATCAGTTGAAGTGTAAGCCGAGATTTCAGTTGACCAGTAAGAGGTGTTTTGATGGCTTGAAAAAGGTGATTCATATGATCTGAAGGCGTGTAAGAGCGAACGCTGATCAGGGAGCTGGTGATGATAGATGCACGGATTTAATCACTTATGTCCGACTCGAGAGATCTGGAGAATGATGAGCTGACATATCAGCGCTCAATCAGCGCTAGCTGATTCGGGTAACCAGAAATTACCGTTTTAGTTACGAAGGTTCTTGAGCGGAATGATGGCGAGGATGCAGAGAAGGAAGAGGTGGGTGGGGATCGGCACGGAGGTGAAGACAAGTGGCAAGAGGGCAGTTCAGTGAGGTCGGCCATAGATCTGGTTGAAGGACTCATCAGTGCATACGAGGGTCTCTTTGCTTAGCACCCTGTCTCTAACACTTCGCTGCAGCTCGCTTGTTATCCCGTATTGCTGTCTGTCTGCTATGTCAATTTGTCTGTTACCCAAACCTTGCACTCTCGAATTGCTTTGTTACACATCCCATCGGTGTCTGTACTGCCAACTTGTAAAAATACACATTGTATGTAGATACCCAGTGCCTCGACACTTTCTATATCGCTGTCCGAGTCGGTTCTGCTACCTCAAATTCCACCTCAAAAATCTGGCTACTATCTCACATTGTTGGGTTAGATATTCATCAAAAATACAAATGTACGCATATAAAAAACTGTCTCAAAGCGTTAGGAGTTCGGTAGTGCTGATTAGTTGACCGTTAGCTGACGGTAGATCTGCCGAGAGCTGATGGTCATTTCACCGGTACATTGTACCGGCAATTTTTACTTAACGGGGTGAAGAAGGAATGACTTGACATTGTCAGTTTTATATGCTGACACGGGACGGGTATCTTATCCAGGAGACTGGTTTATAATATTAGCCTATGTTTATGATATCAATATGTCAGATGTGCTAAAAGGGACCTACTGACGAGGAGTGTGAGTGGAGTCCTTTGCGGACTTGTACAATGCGCAATATATGGGCACTGAATGTACGATATATGGGCACTGAACGTGCGATGTATGCCCACTGAATGCACGATCGTCGTGCGTACATCGCGCATACATCGCGCATACATCGCGCATTTAGTTTTTCTACCGTGAAAGGAAATCAATTCCGAAGGATAAAGAAATTGAATCCCTTTGTGTTTTGCGTCCAAAAAAGGAATTGTTTTGCAAAAGGAAATAATTCAAGGTTACAAAGGGGAAAGTCCCGCTTTTGCTTTGTCTTTTGCCACCGTCAAACTTACTAGATATAGTAAAAATTGCCGGACACTTTATCGGCGGAGAGAAATATACTTTTACATCACGTTTTTCGGCTAAAAAATAA